TGCTAACAGTGTCATGTTTACCTGCTCTTTCCACTGTAACTGTTTTACCGTCCTTTTGGATGATTTTAAACGGGCCGTCGTAAGGAGACTGTAACGGCTGTCGTACTCTATCATTTCTGACGAATACATGTGAGCATTTGTCTAGTTCACTAGGTACGAATGATCGCACCTTTTGGGTTCGTGGTTCGACGGACCTAATGGATTTCATCTGTTGCTTTAATTGTTGTACATAGTCGGTTATGTCTGCTGGAATATCTGTTGCGCGGTCAAAAAATTCACCAGGCAAACGTAACGTTGTTCCATAAACCAACTCGGCAGCACAACAACCAATGTCTTGTTCTATAGATGAGCGAATGCCTAATAGCATCAAAGGAAGTTTGGCATCCCATTTGTAATCTCCTCCTGCGGCCGTCACAGCGGCTTCTAATTATCTGTGGGACCTCTATCATTCCATTAGCAGTCGGATGATAAGCAGTGGTTCTAATTCTCTTTATACCGAAAGTATCTGTAAGTTGCTGAAATAGTTTGCTTTCAAACTGAGCTCCACGGTCGGTCGTAATTGTTGTAGGGACACCAAAATTTGTAATTCAGTGTTTCACCAGTTTCTTCGCCACTGTTGATGCCGACGTGTCTTTTAACGGAGCAGCTATGGGCCATCTCGTAAATCTATCTATACATGTTAGTATATGCGTGTAACCTCTACTAATTGGTGAGCTGCATTTAGAACACGCGCCTATTTCTCTACAAAGTCTGCTGCATACCCTCTAATCATAAAGAACTTCATATTAGAATTACTATTGCAATTATTAACAATTCACACATAACATTATTACTTTGGAATTATTACTGTATATTTGCTTATTTAAACCCAAAGTTACTTTTCTTTTTCGGTGAGTCTCATATATATTTCTTGTTATTTTTGACTTCTTCATATTGTATATTTCAATCCTCAGCTTATTATTATTGCTATTGTTATTATTTCTTCGTATCATGTCACTTGATAATTCACCAAGCCTTTCATCTAAGTCTATTTCCGTGGGTACCATCTCTGAACCTTCACCTGTCTTTAATCCCCGAAAGGCCGAACTCTGGTTTGCACGCTTATAAAGCTTTTTTGTTGCAAACAGAATCACAAATCAGAACACAAAATTTAGTTATGCAAACTCATTGCTGCCAGACGATGTTATAGAACAAGTGTCTGACGTCATTTTTAAGCCGGATCCAGACTCACCATACGATTGTCTAAAAAGAGAGGTCATTCGTGTTACATCTCTCACCGACCAACAGACAATTGATCAACTTTTAGCTAATGTAGAGCTAGGTGACAGTACCCCATCTCAATTAAAACTCTACATGACAAATTTATTGGGGAATCGTACAGTAGATAAACGTCTATTATATCAGTTGTGGCTCAGACGTCTCCCACAAAACATCCAACATATACTAGCAATCGGAGACGAGGATATCGATTTTGATAGGCTAGCAAATATGGCCGATAGAATTTACGAGAGAACTAGGACTCACTCCGTATCTCAAATACAATCAAACTCAACTGACGAGATCACCGAGTTACGACGAACAGTCGAAGTCCTCACTAATCAGATAGCCCAGCTCCAATTTTTGAATACCTCCCACAGCAAGCGTAAAGGAAGGTCCAGAAGCCGTAGAAGTAGTCCAAGCACCACTCGACATAACATTTGTTGGTACAATAAAACGTACGGTAAACAAGCTAAAAAATGTACTCCCTGTAACTTCGCAAGCACACAACAAAGAGACCATCAAGGTCGTCGGTTAATGACGACTACAGTCGCTGACTACAACTCTCAAGACAGTCGTTTGTTATCTGTTACAGACAAAAGAACTGGAACACAGTTCTTAGTCGACACTGGGGCAGAGGTTAGTGTAGTACCACCCACTACACTTGAGAAAAACGCACCTGACCCCGAACTAAAACTACAAGCCGCAGACAGATCTGAAATCAAGACGTACGGCAGAAGGCAGTTACAATTAAATTCCGGTCCTAAATCCAATTTTTCATGGAGCTTCATCATAGCTGACGTTCTCGTTCTCATAATCGGCATTGATTTTTTACAATCCCATAAAATACCCGTAGATGTAAGAAATCGGAAACTTGTCCTTGCCGATCATAGCAGCGAAATTAGAGGAATTATATCTAATGAGACGTCAATACTTATTGATCAAACCTCATCGCGAGAATGACAAGTATGTTAGTTTACTTAATCAGTTTCCAGACTTATTACGACTGAATTTCAAACGGGACAAACTGACACATACCGTCGTACATCATATAAAGACAGAGGGTCTACCAGTGTTCGTACGTCTAAGACTCCTTGACCCCTCTCGTTTGGCTCTAGCAAAGAACGAATTCAACAAAATGATAGAGTTGGGTATCATACACCCCTCCGATAGTCCGTGGGCATCACCGCTCTATATGGTACCCAAGAAAAACTCTTCCGAAGTCAGACCTTGTGGTGACTATAGAGCTCTCAACAGCCGGACTATACCAGACAGATATCCACATCCACATTTACATGACTTCACTCATAGTCTATCTGATGTGACGATTTTTTCAAAAGTTGATCTCGTCCGTGCTTACCATCACATTCCAATTCACCCGAACCATGTTCCCGAAACAGCCATTACTACCCGATTTGGGTTATACGAATTTGTTCACAGATAGGTTTGTATGGTCAAACATAAACAAAGATGTACGAAAATGGTCACGGGAATGCATCCAATGCCAGAAGTCAAAAGCACATAGACATATCATATCTCCTACAGGAATTTTCCCCGCCGCTAGCGCCAGGTTCGACCACATACATATCGACATTGTTGAACCGTTACCAATTTCTAATGGTTACAAGCATATACTAACATGTATAGATAGATTTACGAGATGGCCCATAGCTGCTCCGTTAAAAGACACGTCGGCATCAACAGTGGCGAAGAAACTGGTGAAACACTGAATTACAAATTTTGGTGTCCCTACAACAATTACGACCGACCGTGGAGCTCAGTTTGAAAGCAAACTATTTCAGCAACTTACAGATACTTTCGGTATAAAGAGAATTAGAACCACTGCTTATCATCCGACTGCTAATGGAATGATAGAGGTCCCACAGATAATTAGAAGCCGCTGTGACGGCCGCAGGAGGAGATTACAAATGGGATGCCAAACTTCCTTTGATGCTATTAGGCATTCGCTCATCTATAGAACAAGACATTGGTTGTTGTGCTGCCGAGTTGGTTTATGGAACAACGTTACGTTTGCCTGGTGAATTTTTTGACCGCGCAACAGATATTCCAGCAGACATAACCGACTATGTACAACAATTAAAGCAACCGATGAAATCCATTAGGTCCGTTGAACCACGAACCCAAAAGGTGCGATCATTCGTACCTAGTGAACTAGACAAATGCTCACATGTATTCGTCAGAAATGATAGAGTACGACAGCCGTTACAGTCTCCTTACGACGGCCCGTTTAAAATCATCCAAAAGGACGGTAAAACAGTTACAGTGGAAAGAGCAGGTAAACATGACACTGTTAGCATTGACAGAATAAAACCAGCGTTTTTAGAGAACACTGAGAAACAGGCAACTGTAAAACCGTCTAAACCTGCAGCAGAGCAAGCATCAAGTAGACTAACTGCAACAAACAAAACTTCACCCAGAAGTACGCCAGCAACAGAAACCACAAGATCAGGAAGAAGAGTACACTGGCCAGATAGGTATGTAGCAACCACCATATTTATTTAGACCAAGTCCTGAGATTACTCTTATAACACAAAAATCCTTCTTTATTTTCATTACTATTTTTTATTGGCCCCACGGATCTTCATCATGCTTACATTTTAACTTTACGCAATTCGTTGATGTTAAATATACATTTACACATACATGATATAAAACGTTTCAACACACAAGCTGTTATTACAACTTAACGCTTACTCATCATCATATCAAGTTGTGCATTTACTTTAAAAACAATTTCGTTTTTTATCTCTTTATCGAACATAGATGTTAATAAAAATTTTTTTGTAAATAGTTGTTACAAGGACGCCGTGAACCCTTTTTAAAGAGAGGGAGAACTATCGATTCATTCCATGACGTTGGTACACCAAGTGAGAGGAAAATCAAAGTGTGTGTCTCTGTGTTAAAAATCCATATATATTTTTGAGTATTAATCCAGTGTAGATAAATTATTGATTATCTATGTGTCTCAACCAATGGGGGAATAGAATAGGGATTGAAGTGCAGACACACGCTCAAACATACTCATGGAAATTAACATAGTGTGGTAGACAAATAATATATTAGTGGAATGATCACCTCTAACCCGATTTCCTTTCATGCACCTCCAGAAGAACCTTTCCACGGTGTGGGCAACCCGGAAGTGATAACCGCCCTCATACCTCTAACAGCACTCAACCTCCTTATTCAATTCCTATTATTCCTCCTACATCGACTTTCTACACTAAACTTCCTTTTTCGGCTCCCTCCTCAAGTGTCACCATAGCCAACGATTCTAGTGCGCAAAACACTGTCCCAGGTCTACTGAAACCTCACTCCAAACTACACATTGGAGCCTTCAACGTACGCACACTATGTCAAATCGACCAGCAGGCTTCCTTGGCTAAAACCCTAGAATCTCGTACCATTGATGTTTGCTGTGTCTCTGAAACGCGCATACAGGATCCTAGCGTGGTCATTCACTTGACCTCACCTCGGCAAAATGGAGAGCCGACGAGACACACCCTCCGTGTATCTGGCGACCCGACGGCTAGTTCTCGTGGACTGGCAGGTGTAGGCATAGCACTAAGCGCTATTAGAGTGGATCCCCGTTAACAGTCGTCTATGCGCTGTTCGGCTAAACGACTCCATAAGAACTCGGAAGTTAGTCAGTCAGTGACAACGTGGAACTTCGTACGTACGTACATCAGTTCGAGTTGCCATACCACATTAGCACAGGGATTCAGTTATCGATTCAAATCCCGTAGTGGTAGAGGTAATAAAAGTTTACGTAGTGACAGGGAACATTAAGGTTTGATGATGTTATATAATCCAGTGGAATAGATTTAGAAAGAAAATAAAGGACATAAAGAATTCAGAAACAGAAAGACATTTAGGTGGGTATTTTAGTATTCCGGCACAGAGAACAGATAATGGTGATCGTCTGCTGCAATTGTGCTCAGACAATCGTTTAATTTTAGCAAACACAAATTTTAAGCATAAGGAGAGACATCGTCTAACATGGCGACTCCTGCACCAAATCAACGATGGACTCAAATAGACCATATTGCCATCAGTCATCGTTGGAGAGGGTCGATAGAAGATTGTCGCTCATTCTGGAGTACCTGCCTTGACTCCGACCATGCCCTAATACGAGCACTCATCTGCCTGCGCCTCACTGGAAGCAAAAAAGCCACATTAAAAAGACCTATTAGAACTGAACTGAGTAACGAGAAAACCAAAAAAAGGTTCCGGGAACAACTGAGGTCACACCTAGGTAGTTCTGAAAACGAGGCTGACCCAGATGTTGCTTGGAAAGATATACAATCAGCTGTGGAAACAGCGGTGACATCTATTAGTGATTTAAACCAAAAGGTTACGAAAAAACCAATGGATTTCTTCAAGGTTTATTGCACTGATGGATTCGCGTAAACTCATCCCATCAGTCAGTCAGTCAGCTGCAACGTAGGACCAGGCACGTATATGCATCGGTCCAAGTTGCCATACCGCATTAGCACAACAAGATGAACACCGGATTCATAGAAGTAGCTAATTCAGTGGCGGTAATATCTAGAAGAACGATTGCATATAAGGAGATAGTACAGGAAGAAAGAATTAGTTCCTAGAAAGAAAGATATGAAGCGGTTTTAATCTCTTAGTTTAAAGGAAGACAGAGAGTGTATACACCGACGCCATTGTGATCGATTCTGAGCCATGTCAGCAAGAGTCTCCAACCATTGGGTACGATAGTCACGCGGCCCGAGGAAGAGCAGCTGGTCCGGATGGATTGGCTCCAGAGGTCTTTAAGGATGGTGGTCCAATTCTAGTGATTAGGTTGACTAGTATTTTAGCTAAAATCTGGGAGTTGGACGTTATCTCATGTGACTTCTCACAATCACTTATCGTCCCAATATATAAGAAATGGTCAAAATCATCCTGCAACAACCATAGAGGGATTAGTTTAACTAATATAGCATCTAAAATACTAGCCTCGATAATTATTGGACACCTAACTAAGACTCGTGAACTGCAAACACGAGAGAATCAGACCTGGTCGTGGATGCATAGACCACATATTCACCATTCGTCAGGTTCTAGAACACAGGCATACTTATCGGCGTCCGACAATGGTGGTCTTCCTTGACTTAAAAGCAGCATTTGACTCTGTAGCTCGAGAGGTTCTGAGGCAGCGTCTGTCATTGAAGGGCGTACCTCAGAAGTACATAAACCTTGTGAAGGCTCTTTACTCGAACACTACTAGTCGAGTGAGAGCTTATGGCGAACTGTCATCTGCTTTTGCAACCTCAAGTGGTGTCCATCAAGACTGTCCACTTTCTCCATTTTTGTTTAATTTCATCATAGATCTACTCATGGAAATAACGCTCTCATCAACTGAGTTCTTGGGCATTGATCTCCTACCAGGACGCCCATTTATCGACTTAGAATACGCAGATGATATAGTCCTGTTTGATGAAGACGCTGATGAAATGCAGTCTTTTGGTACTTATATATTTATTTATTTTGACACATAGGTATTGGTACACGGAGGCACCAAATACATATGCGCCACACAGATCTCATTTTATATGTGTGAGCGCTGTGATACTGCCCGGCTGCCCTAACCGAAGCAAGTGGTTTTCTTAGGGGGGCACACCTCGAGCCTTCGACCTGAAGATCTGATCCACAAGGCAGTGGAGCATCGTGAGGAGATGCAGTCCCATGGTAGCCGGTGACCAACGATTGGTTCATACGTTATTTGTTCCTTCAGGATAGCGGAGCCCATGTGCACCATTGGTTTACGGTGCGGTTAAACCGCCGGACATTCGCTTTTCGACCTCTCATTTTCGTAAACAACAGTAATGCCACGAGAAGGCAGTGAGTAGGACTAAGCAACAATGCCAGAATGTTTGGAATGCGCTTCTCCCCCTCTAAATGCAAGTTATTGCTTCAGGACTGGTCTGTGTTAACACCTGAACTAAGGATAGGGAGTGAAGTAGTTGAACGCGTTGACAACTTCACTTATCTTGAAAGTCTGATCAGCCTTAATGGGTTGGTGTCTGACGAAATTTCAGCATGGATTCGAAGAGCTTGTTTGGCTTTCGTCAACTTACGTCACCTATGGCAAATGAGAGATATCCGTCTATCAATAAAAGGACGAGTATACTGTGCGGTAGTTCTTTCTGTTCTACTTTACGGCTGCGAAACGTGGCCATGAAGAGTAGAAGATACTCGTAAGCTACTAGTATATGACCACAGATACCTTAGAGATATTGCTGGGATCACCGGGTAAGTAATAATAGTTAGGTTAGACGCAGGGTATTAGGGAATGATTGTAAATCAGTTGATGAGGTTATGAATCTTTATCGACAGATGGTTGGGCCACGTGCTGCGTATGCCTGAACACCGATTACCACGACGCGCAATGCTCACTGGTGTTAGGGATAATTGGAAGAAAGTTAGGGGCGGCCAAACCAAAACGTGGCATCAGTGCTTGAAGTCACTAACTTCTGGTCTTAGCTATGTTGGTAGATGCAGACTACTTGGTTGGGGGCCGCGTGACTATCGTAACCAATGGTTGGAGACTCTTGCTGACATGGCTCAGAATCGATCACAATGGCGTCGGTGTATACACTCTCTGTCTTCCTTTAAACTAAGAGATTAAAACCGCTTCATATCTTTCTTTCTAGGAACTAATTCTTTCTTCCTGTACTATCTCCTTATACACACTCTTTCTTCTATATATTACCACCACTGAATTAACTACTTCTATGAATTCGGTGTTCATCTTGTTGTGCTAATGCGGTATGGCAACTTGGACCGATGCATATACGTGCCTGGTCCTACGTTGCAGCTGACTGACTGGTCTAAATTTCTGAAATATCCTGCACGTTGGTAACTTTATAAAGCAACAAAATTTGTTCCACTTGTTTTTTTCGACAATCGTTCTATGCTTTGGTTATTATAAGAATACCTTGTTTATTCACATACTTGAAAGTATATTTCTAGTATGAATCAATAGTTTTTCGTGTTTTATGATGATAACATTTAATCGATTACTGCGTAGTACGTGTCTACAAAGTTTGGGCATCTGATTAACAGTTTCTTAATATAAGTTTCTTAGGATTCCCACTTTTCAAATATTAACTGTTTTCGAAACAGCTAACTAATTCGCGATTTTTTTACTTTCATTCCATATTATCGTTTAGTTGGTCTATAGGAACGAGACCAACTGAATCAGTTTCTCACATTTTTCTTTACAGGCTAAACATATACTTACTGGCTACTGAACTTCTTGGCTTGGGATAGATTAATTAACCAAAATATTTGCTATGATCCACTTTCATTTTTAACATTTTAACTGTCTCATAGTGGTCGTCCATTTTAAATGTCACTTGATAAAATACTTTTACTATATAATTGTTAGGTGATGTAACTATTTTATTCTCCAACTTTTCAAAGCAACTTTAAAGTGAAATTTAATCTCCATACACCTGCAAACTGCATTACTATGGAGCGTCTTACATTATTTCATCTACGACGAGCCGACAGAACTAACGAACCTGAAACCAAAACTATTATAGATCAAATGGAAACAGAAAGTCTTGTTAGTAAAGCGTACTACGAGAAACTTTGTCAATGGAAAGATGATGCACTTCGGCTGTTCAAAATAAATCACATAAATTATCTCAACAAGCGACTTTTCAATCTGCCTATGAGTTTTGAACATTTAGATGCAAGTCAACCGTGGTTGGCGTATTGGATTGTACATGCTTTAAGACTGCTGAACTTTGTAATCCCTGAGGAGACCTCGGTAAAATTGATATCGTTTTTAGCATCCTCTCAGGTATGTAACCTGTTTTCAGTTTCTTAGGTATTGCTACATTTTATCCACTTGTCTTGTATAGTGTTGTACAGTCGAAGCTGATTTTCTTGATTCAGTAATTACAGCAGTGGTTTAATCAAGTCTTACATTTTTTGTTTCTTTGTTGCTCTCAATCACATCTAAATTTACGAATCATCTATTAATTGAGGAGGAAATGACTTATCGACCAGACCAATGACGCATAAACCCGTAACGAGCAGTTTTAAGTCTTTATCGGTCCTTCTTCCTGCCTAGCCTTTCCTGTTGAGCCCAGAACACCAATCTCAGTTTCCATGATATGAATCATGTATACTGGGTTTATATACAAACTAAACAGACCACACCACACCATAAAATAGAAAATAACATTTGTACGAGATGTAGCCAAAAAGTGGGTGTGAATGTGGGGGACTGTAATTAATAAACCGGGCACAACTCAAGAACGGTAAATCGTATAATAAGTCTATGGGTCAAAATAAAGCTTATAATAAAAAGGACATGAATATATATATATATATATATATTTCTTAACAATTATATAATAAAAATATGTGTATAGTATTAGTCCATAAATGGATCTCAATAGTTATCATCCACTATCCTTGTCGGGATATAGCACCATTTTTTGAAGATTTGGAGTTTATATCCAGACTTTATCCTCTCCCACGAAAAAAATGTTCGATCCTCATATCCCCAAGTTATGATTAATGTGACTATTTAAAACATATTTCTTGCACTGGATAGAGAATCCACTAGAAGTGACCAGACGGTGAGGATCAACGACACTTGAGAGGAGGTCATCAAGGTTTGATTCTTCTGAAAAATTCTCATCAAATTTATTGGAAATCTCTTTAGTAGATAATGGATAATTAGGAAAATCAGTATTTATTAAAATTGCATTAGGTTTTTGATCATCATTTGGTTCGTCCGACATATTTTTCTCGTTTTTGCAAGAAATTTCATCAAAAGCATGTGAGTCATTAATATAACCCATATTTGATAAAACTAAGGAATCCCGATAAGTAGATTCATTAGAAACTTTTGTCGCAGAACGATGAGTTCCATTTGGTGCAACTGTATCTATTATGCTGCTCAATTTTTTTTCTGTTTCATCGTGGGCGGGTACCACAACAATTTCATTAGTATTTAACAAGACACTGTCTTTCTGTGAGCTGGATAAGTCACTGCTTGTACATTGGAGGGTTTTATCGTTCGAGTGCTCAAGTTGTATGCCGTATATCAAGAATCTAAGCTCTAGATACAACAACTGGCGACGGGGTCAACTTATTACGATGTCATTTACCTTTGACCAAGTTGAAGCTTTACTAGAGCGTCAAAAAAAGCGTTATGAACAGTTCCAGATTCGTATTCTAGAAACTCTAACCCAGTAGATGAACCTAAATCAAAAGGGGCTTACAGGTGATCCTTTCAAATCTCATCCCCGTTGCCAGTTGTTATATCTAGGGCTTGGATTCTTGCTATACCACGTACAACTTGAGCAGTCGAACGCTAGAAACCTCCAAGTCGAAAAGGAAAAAAAAACGGAAGACGAGTGAGAAGGAATGCTATTCCAAACGGTGTCAAATATGATGCGAAACTCTCAGGTATTTATAATTTTTAGTAAAAGCGAAGTCATTCTGGTCATTCAATTCACATACAGTGGTTTTTAGAAGTTATCTTATAGGGAAGCTACACGTAGAGGTTCTGGAATGTTTTTCCAAAAGATGATTGAGTGGAATGTCTTCGGCTCTTTCTGAGCTTCTTAGAGCTTCCTCACAGTTGGCAATATGGACGGCTCGCCCATGGTATAGTCGATGTAAGTTCGCAAAATGTAAACTGAGGTTTCTGAGATCTCATCAGACACCAGCCCATCAACACTGATGGAACCCCAAAGATAAATGAAGCGGTCTGTACACCCTACTACTTCATTCCCTGTTGTTAATTCAGGAGAATTTTCAGGTCGATCCTGAAGCAATATTTCGCATTTAGAGAGGAAGAATCGCATCGTATTTTTGCTTAAGGTGGTCAGAAGACTCTGTATTTTGTCAGCGTCTCCACCAAACAGAACTGTGTTATCTGTGTATTCTAAGTCAACAAGTAAACCTCGTGGTAAAAGAACAACCCCCTGAAATGAGACGATAAAAGCGTTATCAATAAAAGCATGTCTATGACAAGGTTAGACAAAAACAGGGAAAGTGGACACCGTCGACGAACACCACTTGGAGTAACCAACCCCTATGAAAGTTCTACATAAGCTCTGACTCGACCAGTAGTGTTCGAGTTTAGAGCATGTACAAAGCTATCTGGATTCATTAGCTGAGTGGACAACTCAGTTGTGTTCGAAGCGAATGATACGGGGTTAATGTCCTGGAGTGAGCATCAATTTTGATTCATTAACATCTAGCTGGCGCACGCATCGTGGATTCCACTGCTAGCCATATTCAATTTATTCCATACTGACTTGTTTCAATTGCTATATGGAGGCGATCCGGGCAAAATACACACATGCCAACCAAGACTGATCAAATTTCAGTCCAAATAGCAACAACTCGATAACTGTGCTTTTAGAGAATGACGAAATGCGTTTTGTGTGAAAGGGTTTGTGCGATACTATCCTAGGTTTGCGAGTCTAAACTACCTTTGTCTAATTATAGTTTTGGGATGGTGAGAATTCCTACCCAGACGTTTTTCGCTCTAGATGATCATAATTCTGCTAACTTTCGTAGTGCTCACACATGTATATTTTTTCCGCATGTTGTACTTCATAATTCTGAAGTCAGTCAAAGTCCGCTTAAAGTATGTCTAGAGATATGCCAAGATAATTAAAATATTGTTCTGGTTTTGAGGTTCACAAGTTAGTTCTTGGTTTATTCGAGGTAAAATTAGATGGTATATGTGAGATAATGGATGGAATGTATGTCTTGGAGAGGCACTCAGTTGTAAATAGTTTAATGTGTAAATAATTGTTTAGTCCGTGAAATTCTAGTTAACGCTGGTAGCCAGGAAATTTTAGCAGTCTCTTTGGAATTACGCTGTCGAGAAAAAAACACTTAAAAAGTTGATTTACAAAAAGCCAGAACACTAGTACAAATTGTGGTAGTTGTTGTTCACAAATACAAGCAGTCCATCACATTTTCCAAATCAACTGTCTTTTCACTGCTCTATCAAATTTTATAAAAGGGTTTATTGCTTTAATTTTTATCGGATTTTGTTAGTTGATGGAATGCTTTTATCGAATTTTGAGTCCAGTGTTGGTTTAGGACCCAATTGTATTCAGTCATTTAGAGGTTATACATTTGATCGGATTCGCTTTATTTTATGTACATTACCACTCTGTTAGCAAATCTTCGTTATTACTGTTGATAAAATTATAATTCAGATCAAATAAATTTCACATACTTTAAAAATGTCCCAACAAGTTAGTTTCAGTAGTTTGAAAAACTACTAAAAGTAATATGTGAAATTTCAAATAAGCAACAAATAATAGAAAACTATCATCTCGTAATGGTTCGTGTTCTACTAACTTTTAATTATTACAAAGAAATTTTGGTATTTGCTTAGCGATTTTATAACTGGCATCTGAATTAACTCGGTGTTTTGTAATTTAGTCTCACCACTTATTGTTCACTAAATCCCTTGTTTTTTCTATTTATAGCATCCGGACGGTGGTTTTGGTGGCGGCCCTTATCAATTTGCACATCTTGCAACTTCATATGGTGCAGTTAATTGTTTGGCTTCTTTATGTCGTCGAGATGCCCTAGATATTATCAATCGGGATACACTGGCTGACTGGATGCGGAAACTTCATCAGCCAGACGGCTCATTTTTAATGCATTTAGGAGGTGAAGCTGATGTTCGTGGTGCCTACTGTGCCACAGCAGTTGCAAAACTTACTGGGTTACTTAAAAAACATCCTGATTTGTTTGAATCGACTGCAGAGTGGGTGGCTAGTTGTCAGGTGAGTTATTTTTACGTGTTCATGGGATTAATTATTTCAAAAATATGATTCAGTTCCTTTTATCTGCATGAAAAGCGTTTATATATTTGGGACTAATATATAATAGGAAACTATTCTTCATAAATAACTAATTGTTCATGCTAATGATTTTGCCAGATTTTTAATTCAATCCAATAAGATCTATTTTAAATCCAAGCAGTCCGTGGACAAATCAGCAGTTCCCTTTTATCACCGACTCAGAAATATAGAACAAGTTTGTTTCAACATCCAACTTTAGATTACACTTATTTCGATATTGTAGATAGAAAATTGCTGCTCAAACCAAAGTAGTAACAATGGATTTAAAACTAGGATGTGATAACTTTAAAATTGTGCATTTGGCTTATTTAATCATATCAACAATATTTTGTGTTTCGGGAAAGTTAAACGCTTTCTCAGAGTAGTGTTATTCTTCAATTCATTCACAATACAATTACATTAACTTTAGTTGAATAATATATGGTGAAAAAAGATGTCTTTTATGTGATCTACTCAAAAGTTCGTCATGCAAATAACTGATGAAAGTTTGTAGAGAAATGTAAATTGCTTCCAAGTTCACTTTCATAATCTTAGCAGATTTTGCTGTGCATATATATACTTTATTGCAGACGTATGAAGGTGGTTTTGGCGGTCAACCTGGATTGGAGGCTCATGGCGGTTATGCTTTCTGTGCGGTAGCAACACTGTGCCTTTTGGGAAGGTCAGATTTAATTAATTTGCCTAGACTATTGTATTGGGTCAGCCATCGTCAAATGGCGACGGAAGGTGGTTTTCAGGTAAGGGATTTTTTGCATTTCGTATATTTACGCACAAAAATGAATAAGTAATCACGATGAATAATCAAGTCTATTATCATGTAATATCTTTTCAAACACTGACTTCTGCAACTTAGCTTGAAATTGTAACCGAGTGGTTAACAGTAGATTGCCTAGACAAATGAACCCTCAGATGGTCTTTTTCTATCGTATGAGAATCTCCACCACTAAATATTAGTAAATAAAATGTATATAGTTCAATTTAAGTATCTCGGATTGCAAATATAAATGAATTTAAGCTTTTTATCAAAAGTTAGACCACACAAAAAACTAAAAAAAGAATACTTAAGTGAACTAATTTCAAAAACCAATTATGACATTAAATAAACAAACAGGTAATTACTCCACACTTAAGTACATTTCATTATCATTTAATTGATTTCCTTATGCTTATAAATGGAATTTACTATATTGGTGATTTTATAGGACTAAGTAGGACACGCACATCTTCAACTTCACTGCTGGCTACCATTTTATAAATTCTGTGTTATGTAAATATTTTTGTTGTAATCAGTTTGTACCGAAACGAACTTTCAATGAATTAATGTAGCAGAGTTATTACAAGTTAGTCTCGTATGTTCGAAATATTGCTTATGATTACTTAACAAGGTAAAATGTCTTTATGAGGAAATGTCCCGTTGAGTTGAAACAGGAATGGTTGTCGAAATTGCCAACTTTCCCCATGAAATGTCTATGACCCTGTAATCTACTTATCATGTTGTTTTTCGTATTATACTAGTCTAATTGTAATCTGTCCTTGTTACACCGGTTGTATTTATGATTTTTAAATTATTATTCAGTTGATTCACCATACTCATAACATTTAGATTGACTAAATCCTGCTGTCTTTCGACTTGAATTGTTAAAACAGTCACAGATTAAGCTGCAACATAAAATACTTGTTCCGTTAATGACTTGTTGATCTTCATTCCAAGGGTAGAACAAATAAGTTAGTGGACAGTTGCTACTCTTTTTGGCAAGGTGGTATTTTCCCAATTGTCGAGGAACTGTTATGGCTGTCCGGCGACCCTGCACTCAATGACATTGATACGTTGTTTAACCCTTCTGCTTTGCAAGTAAGTTTCGTTAATTTATGTTATATTTGAAATATGGCATGTAACATTTTGGTAGGTTTTAGTTTCTGAATTTGTTTAGTCAGACTTTAAAACGCCATATACAACAGTGAGGTGTCACTGAAAAATGTACAAATATCCAATGAATTGTTGATTAAATTATCCAACTTTCAGGCATTTCATAACTTGATAAACTCCTACCTCGAGTAAACAATCCAGTAGTGTTAATAGGTTTTACACATTTAAGCATGATTAGAAAGCGTATACGCAAATCTGTATTCATTTACTGAGTTACACATTATACGTACAAACGTAGATAATATTGCTCCTAGCCCAAATGTTTATCATCCCAAGTTTCAACACATTAACACAATGAGGAATTAGAAGGAGAGTCAAAAGAACGAATATCATTTCGTTGGCACGAGTGAATAGTTAGAAACAAGAAAATAAATCAATACAGAAGTATGGAATAATACAATGTTTGAAATTTAGTCCCAATATTGATTACAGTTATTTCGGGGTCCCTTATTAAGAAATCTACATCTCTTCATACAATTCAGAGTGACAGTCATTGAATTCCTGGACCGATGCCATATATTGGTTATACCCTCTTAGTCTTCTTACAACGTAATGATCATTTCAACATACATTGCAGAAGTAACCTGTAGCTCTGGTCATACTTAACACATCCCACCTACTTTTACGTACCAGTCAGTCAGTAACAACGTGGATTTTCGTACGTACGTACATTAGTTCAAGTTGCCATACCACATTAGCACAGAGATACAATTGTCAACTCAAATCCCGTTGTGGTAGAGGTAGTAAGACTATAAGCAGTAATAAGAAAGATTAGGATTTGAAGATGGTATTCAAGGAGTATAATCCAGTGAAATAAAATTGGAAAGAGAAAAAAGGACATGAAGTATCCAGCAGATTAGAATTTTGGAGAACACAAAGAGTGGATGCATCTGCGCCACTGCAAACGATTTACGTATAAACGGTAAAAACTCCAATTTATTACCTTCACGTAATGATTTACGTTTAGAATCAACATGACTCACTTGTTAGTTCTACTTTATGCAAGAGATGTGTACGCTTGACTACATGACAGCCTACACACATATCTCTCTTGCTTAAATATCGCTCCCCATGTATACATGTGCTCGGATCATATTCATAACCTTTGTCTTGATTCGATTTGACTATAAATTCGCTTCTGTATTCCCTCGCTAACACATATTCGCCTCTCTGCTTCGAATTCGTTCGATGTGCTTATAACTTTGTTATCCGCTAATAAACTGTGGTCGCCACTTCTGATTTTAAACACCGTTGGGATTTATAATAATAACACTTATCAAGATGATTGATTAACGAAGCTAAGCCGCTACAACTTGGGTTTCAGAAGTAGGAAAAATAATTTTGGATAATGTGATCTAATTTCCAAGACTCGGGATTCAGACAATAAAAGCTCCAACATGCATTTGTTAGTGGTTGTTGAATATTAATTAAAAAGGGTTGGTAATAACAATATAAAACGGAAACGAATAAAGGGGTTAAAGGTAAACAGAATGAACATGTGCCAGGAACCGATACTCCTCGACTGCTCACATCTGGAAACTGATATTTGTGGTCTCATTCACCTGTAGGACGTTAACAAAACATAAACAATAACCTTCTCGCAAATTATTGTTTTTGGTTGTGTAGTATTAGCTCCATGGTTTTTAAACCTTATCACTAGCACTAAAAAGCATTTTCACGGCTGATATTTTATAACCTCTCCCTTCGTCTACAAGAAAGCAGCCACGCTGAAAGTGCCGGCTATGCGTCAGAAACACTACACTGCTGTTACGGCACATTAAACCTGGTAGGACAACTTCACTATCACTCAGAATTCTGTTTTCAGTAGTCGCTTCTCACTTGCCTATCATGACATGAATCGAAGCAAGAAGTACTTCAGGAATTATAACTCGATTTAGTCGTTACGTTAAGTAGGAACGATTATTGAGTCAGGAAGTAACTTTGGCTATCCGATATAAGTAAAAACGTGGTAACTTTTTGTTTTTAGGTTCAACATCACGCTCTAGTGTTCGTGATCCTGTGGTATAACTTGGTATTGAATGCATTTATTGTTTCATGTCTGTCCAGTTAACATAATTCATCTAGTTTGTTTGTATTCATGAAAATTTATTTAACAGCTTAAAGTGCCACTATGATGATTTTATCGATGAGTAAAACGTTCTTTTTTAGTCTTAATTGCTATATTTAGAAATTGTTTGATAGATGATAATCATCCCTCCCGTGTGATTACCTTTTTTGACGATGTTTTAGAACTGAACTGATAGATATAGTAGTAGACTATTTCCTAGATTGCTGTTATGTTCCCAAACCATTATGCCAATTCCTGGATTTTTCAACAACCGAATAAATCTTTTTATTAGCGTAACGAAGAGAAACAAGATATTTTAGTACTAATACAAGTTTATTCACTGAAATATACCTTTCTGTCTAGGCTGTTGACCTAATCCTTTTGAAACTAGTTTTCATCAGTTTAGAATATTTGTCGGAGATATATTACTGAATATTTTTAAGTCAGCTTCTCATGTCACATCCTTAAAATGAAAGAAGTTAATGATTTTTACGACATATCCCATTAATTATTAAACCTGTATTAGATTTATTCAAATTGAATAGATTAACAAATTTTCACGTACGTTCCAACCATAATTTGACATAACAAGTGCGTGTTAAGATAATGATATATATTACTGAATCGCGACTAAGCAGTTATTTGTACTCGTTGATTGATTGTTATAGTGCTCATTATCAGATTGTTGTCTTAGGGCCAACTGCTTCTCTAATTACTAGAAACTACCTGCAAAATGGGTTAAATCTCACGTAAACCACTTGACTAGTTAATCATTTACTATCTGATAATATTGATTTATCTAATAAGAGTTGTGATAGTTTATTAATTTATCAATTCATAATTTTATTATTTGCTAGGAATATATACTGCTTTGCTGCCAAAAGGTTTCTTACACTCGTCCAGGTCTGAGTGTGCATGCAGATGATTCTTCAGGTGAAAAATTGTCTTCAAATAAAAATTCCACATCTGAATACGATGTATCTACTTATGATGGTGGGTTAATTGATAAACCTGGAAAGAACCCTGATGCGTATCACACGTGTTACTCTTTAAGCGGATTGAGCGTAGCACAACATTCTCCTCGTTGCCGCGTTGAATCATACCAAAAAAATGATCTTCCTCATCCATCACCTGCTGTCGATGTATTAGGTGAAGAATTAGGTAATGAACTGGTCGACTTAGACCCTACTCATAATATCATGCATGATGGTTTAGCATTTACTGTCACGTACTTTTCTGAGCTGGATAATGGTCATGCACCAAAAGATGCAGAGGAATTAGCGTTGGCGGCAGCAGAAAAGTACTCTGTACCCGCATTATCAGTATTCCCAAGAAAGAAAAGTCTTACGGAGTTCCATACTTATGATACCAGTGATAATGAAATCACTGTTCCTCAGCATTCTCATTCAATGAACACTTGTACAACGCCGTAAATATTTTATAAGATTGTGATGTGTGGGCGAGAGTGATTGGTTGTTTGCTTAGTCAGACTTGTGGATAGTCTGACAGGCGTTAGATAAGTCATATATTCTCTTATCGTTATTATTATTATCGATTGTTGCTCGGTTGTGTCGGTTTTCGGTGTGTAAATATATTTACGTTCCAGTCAAACTAATTACGTGTTCTTGATCTGAGTTGTGTTGAAGTCCTGTAGAATAAACACTGGGAGGGAGTCTAACAGAGATATACGTCTACGGCAAATTAGCGTCCCATTCGTAAAGACAAGGAAAATCCGAGCGTTATAACAGAACGTCATTTTTATTTTTCCAGAAAAAAGCTTTACAATTTGATTGTTCTCACTTTGTTGATGTAACATATCCTGCAAGTCTATGCTTTGTTTACGTTTTGGTAAACTGTAGAGACTGGGTTATACTTTGCTGGGAGACCGTATATTAGCGTTGCACTGATAACTAATATGGATCCGACAAATAAATACCTAAATGAAAATGAATTTATGAATATTAGTTTTGTTTACGAGAGTCTATAATGTAGATCAAACAATAAAGTGAAATATATGACTCACTTAATATGATTTCGGCTATCTGTTTATTAATAACGTGTCCTCTTCGTAACATGAAACAAATCAGAAGTTCAACCTTACCACATTTTAAATACATGATACATTGAATTCTTTTGATTGTATAATAATGTTCTGTAAGACAGTGAATGAGTAATGTCTTGAAAACAAAACTTGTCAAATTAAAGGTGCATTTTAGATACCTGTAACATTCTTAGTAAATGGATATATTTTAAACAAACTTTCGTGTGTACAACTGACTAAGGATACTTCATTGTGTGTCTTGACATTATCAGACGGGTTAGCTAAATCTATTTTATAAAAAAGACACTAACAAATTTATTGATAGACCACTAGATGAACTACAAATATAAATGTACTTAGCCTACAAATTGTATTTAAGGTGCTCCCACATTACGAACAGTATTTAAAAATAATGTTTACTGAACTACGTACTAAAGGTTGAAGAAAACAATATTGTGCTAACTCTTACATGTTTGGAGTAAAATCATCAAATACGAAATAAGATATGACAGATGACAGAATCATTGATAGACCCATAGAGAAACCTTTCAAAATGTTATCAGCATATCTCATGACAAAGGCTATTGCTAGCCCTCCAAACGCCTGAAGAATAACTACAATCCAAACGATAGGTGTGTAACCGTAAAAAAACCCCAGAGTTTTGACTCTTGATGCATCGTTAATGAAAACTCCAAACAGACCGATTGGCACACCGAAAAGACCTAAAATATAGAAAGAAAATCACTAGTGAATATAAGTATCTATAAGGATGCATTGTCAAAGGTCTGTTCAGTAATGGGTAATAGGTCGAGTCAGTGCGTAGGCTTAGTATCTTAATGATCTCAGTAAGTATCCAAGTCTAGATGAGTGGCGCTAATCATAGGTAATGATTATCACCCGAGTTATGGTGATTGGACGTTGCAATCGCATCTCTATAAGACGTAGGACCTACAGCCATGTGTTGCATAGTCGCAAGGGTGATCGACCAGATCTACCCGCAAATATATCCATGATCAATTTAATTGAGTGGCGCAATTTGAAATATAGTGAGATTATTTATTAGTCCAGAAAGGCAAACAGCATTTATACCTTAACTGTATACAAGTTTGTGTATTACAAAACGGGTTATATCAAAAGCAGTAGGGAACCATGACGATTGCTTAGTCTTACTACATGTTTTTTGTTGAGAAAACTGACGACAATTAAATATATTTAATAAGCAATTGTTAACTTCTATTCACAGGCAACAGCTAAAGGTTACCGAAAGTCGAATACACAGACAAGAAAGATTATTACGACAGAGTTTATCAAAAGCATGTGCAACGCATGCAACATCAAAACGTAGAATATTTTTCTTATCATTGTATCATCAAGATAGAGATTTTCACAAATTTTGGAAAAGCTAATAAGGGATATTTGGACGCTGAAGAGGCTAAAAAGAGTGGTAAGGACATACAGCGACTCTTCTACAATCGATTTCAGCTATGTTTAATTTGTGTTAAACGCTTTTATTAACTTAACAGATGTTTTTCTAACAGCGACGGTTCGTCGATTTCTTTGTTTTATTATGATCATTGTCTTGTCTGTATAGACGTGTACGCTTGATCACATGGCAGCCTACGCACATATCTCTGGCTCAAATGTTAATATCTTAAATAACGTTCGATGGATCATTCACATACCCATGTATATATGTACTCGAATCCTATTAGTAGCTTTTGTCTTGTTGTGCCCTTAATCGATTTGACTAGAAATTCGCAAGTTATAAAGGACCAGGTTAGTTGCCAATGTTTTATATTTAAAATGGTTCGTATTAACTAATGTTTTCTGTCTCACCTAACTGTAGATTTCGCATCCAGATCGAAGTTGGTGTTCCTTTAAATATTTTCTCAAGGTAAACACCAGCAAAGCCGCTAGTAACAGAAGCCAATAGAATTGCTAACAACCCATACAAATTTGAATAGAATTCACTGCTCGATGTTGATTGATCTAATGAAGGCAACTAAGAGTTGTAGCAAGAAAAAGAAGAGTTCACAACAAATAATGTTAAAATTTTTCAGATGGTTAGTTCTGATTATAATGCCAAGATTATGTATACAATAGGCTTAATGGTTCAAACAGTCAGTTTCCAACCATTAGGTCATAAGATTTGGGAAGAGATGTATTATCACTAACCGTCGCACATAATTATGTGCTTGGCAAGTGGATCAAGTCACTATTTACAAATTTTTTACCATATGAGGACGTTACTTCACGACTGTTTCAGAATTAGGAAAAATATTTTTATTATGCCACAAATGCCTTATAAAACAAGTAATAATTTGATCAGAATGGTTAGATTTCAGTATCAAAAGTTAGTCATTAAATAGGATTACTTTCAATGAGGCTACAAATGAGACTTTTAGTATTTTATGTATAGGATAATCTGATTATAAGAGATAAAAAGTTGGAGATTACCATGTATGTTTCGGTTTAAAATTTAGATGAACAAGAATAACAAAAAGACTTCTTAAGGTAATGTTCATGAAACGTGTAAGCATAGAAACAATGACTGAATTTATGATACGAATTTTGTATTTGAGCTTCGTTGTGGATTAAAATGTTACTTTTTTTGCAAAAACTGTAGTGATTACACTTCCTCTGTATAACGTTCAGTCGACTAACACGAGTACAACCGTAAAAATGTTGGCTTTACATCTGAGACTAGCGAAAGTCATTAACCAACGAATAAAAATACCCTACTACACACTTATTTGGACGACAATATATGATGTAGATTCGAAAGGCGTTTCGAAACCTGATCTTGTGTCAATTTTGATTATGTATCGTATAGTGAGGCTTGTCAATACAATGAGAATGAACCATTTTAAACTGTTGTAATGCTAATTTGATTGCTCTAAATTTGTGTTATTTTAGTTAGATTGCATCCAAAATTTTGGACTTTATTTGTGAGGTAGATTAGAAGCTACAAACATGCAGTAGTTATTTTTTATACTATTTATCAATATTCCCAGAATCTTAAGAAACATCAAAACCATTACAAGGTTTATACAGTACGGTGTTTCGTCAATATGAAATGCCTGTAGATCAGTTTTGTTCTTGGTTATGACTGTGGGTTTAAGCAGAGCACATTTGTATCAGGTCCTGAATGACCCATAAATTCAAGCATCTGTAGTCTCTAAAAGAGTGATAAATTTGGAATATTCACTTATTTATAATCAACATAAAACTTAGGATAAATGTGCATCAACCTAAGTTGAAACATGGCGTAACTTAGAAGAAAAATAACAAATGTATAGAAATTAAACATTTCGGGTGATAGGGTGTGTTTCATGCTTCAATGTCAGGCCTATTACAACCATCACAGAACACTTAACCACAAAAGAGAAAAGCTTTCAACAGAATGAGGCTAATTACACTACTTGGAGAACAAACATCACAGCAGAAAATAGCAGAGTATGCGGTATTTATTGTGAAACCTTACCTGTGTTAAGATAATACCGGTACTGAGTAATAAAAGAGCAAACCATTGAGTTGTACGTAGGCGTTGATTTAACAATAATATCATAAATATAGCGGTAGTGAATATTTTACTCTGATAAAGTATTTGATATAAAACAGCATTCAAATGTGAAATAGCAAAATATAGTAAATTATTCTGTACAATATAAAGAGTTGAGGGAATTAAAATTTGAATCATATCATTATACTGAACAATTATTTGATTATAGATTGATGAAATACTACGTTTAATTTCACCTGAAGTATAAGGAAAAAAGAATGAAATAGTCAGGAGTTTGTTAATGTATTCAGAAAATGTAGTCACAAAGTAAACATGTAAATTTATTCCGATGACATTTTTGAAAAGATCAAGCTGTGGTTTAGTGAGTTCAGGGGACTTAGTTCTATATTTTAAGTTAGAAATGAACTTTAATTATCGAGTTTTGGGCAAGTAGATAGCCCATGTACGAATTCACGGTCTAGATACACAAAGCTGAAAGTAGATTCTGGGTGGTACTCAATATTTAAGAACGTCTACATAGTTAGATGCTTTTATCTACCAATATACGATATTAGTGATTCTAAAACAAAATAATCATTACCTATTTTAGAACTAACAAGAAACGGCTTTTGTATTTCACGACCTCTCGTTTTAGAGTTTAATTATAAAGAAACAGGCTTAGAGAACCCGCTGAATTTATCTTACTCCACAAATTTCATTCAGCATTAAATAAATTAAGACTAGGATGTATTGTAAGTAATGGACACGGAAACATATATTACTACATATAATGATTTACTATAATTTTAGGTTATTTGAAACTGAAGAGGAAGCAGAGAATCAAATGAATTCATTGAATTTGAGTCTTTTTATTTACAATTTGTACAAACTATTCATGAAGTTAAATATACAACTCTGACTTCGTTATCATTTTCGTAAATTTCTTCAGTTTGACACATATGATGTTACAACATAGTGTGGGTTTTAATCTGGATTCGCTTATCTGACTAAATATTGCAGAAAATAGTTGCACATGCGCTTTTGGAATGGTACTAAACAGAATGAAATGAATTATGAATTATTGTACTACTTGAATCCGTGTATACTGGAAGCGCTTAGTATTGTCGAAATTTGATTCAATCTGTGAAAAAAAACTAACTAAGCTTCACCTGATAATTATACACAATTTAGAAGTTAAATGTTAAGTCAATACTTTGAAAAAGACCTTTAAATAACTAAGGTTACAATTATACTGGGTACTGAAAATCTTATTTAGCGTTTCCTATCACAGTTTTAGTATACACACAATTTTGTTAAGTATTGTACTACTAATTAACTGACTTGAAACAGGTAAACAATATTATATATACACATAAGTGATTTACTTGAATGTGTGAGCTTAAATTAACGTGAAAGTGGAGCAAGTCAGTGGATAAAGCTACGTACACAATTAATAAGCGAAACACTTCGTAGAAAGTAGCACAAATATTTATGTGTTCAAATAAATAAATAATAAATAAATAAGTAGCACAATTAAATATTTAAAGAAATATGTTCATTAAATAGCATTTACCTTCTTGGCATAAAATCAAAAATATCGACAGCAGAAGTTTTAGAAATTCACTACATACAACAACTGTTGAAGCTGAGTATAACTCCGAATTCTGGACTGAACGTGAAACACGCATCAATAAAATTAGGCAGGAGGTTTGAAATGTCAAGAAAATAAGACTGCCACATTTTATCCAAACTGTTGAAGATACTTCCTAAAACAGCAAGCCCATTGAACAAGATTAACATTAGTGAAGAAAAGAGTGAATAATACATGCATACAAGTTACCAACTACCTATATGATATTCTTTGTACTTAAACGCCAGATATGTCCATCCAAGTCCCTAGATGTAAGCTCAATATTCATTAAGTTGGTTATAAGGCTAACTACTAAGAGAATATTGTATTCAATTTGTCGAGGAGTAAAGAGGCAATTCAACGACATTCTCTTCAATTGTTTGTATATATTTTGACTTAGCAAAATAAATAACGATTGATGGAGATGTAACTGAGATAACCTCGGCCCAATGGCTTAGTTCGATATCCCAGGATAAATACACTTATAATACTTTAAAAGTTGACAGAAAAGGAATGGATTAGAAATACTCCACTGGAATAATGAGTACGAGTTTATAAGACAACGATTTTATTTATTTGAACACATAAATATTGGTATAAAGGGGAATCGGATATATATGCGCCACACAAATCGCTTCATTTGTGCGTGGGCTATGATACTACCCGGGTGGCCCAGACCGAACATTAGTGGGAAACGTTAAATGATGAGGGATCAAACGGTACACATGCACTTGAAATATTTGCATCACTTATTACATTCAGCGACAGCTTTCTTAAAACAATAACCTAGGCAGAAGAGAACTGACATTAAGGCTATATTGAGCGCTGTTGGAGTGGTAATCGTTCATGAATATAAACAAGCTGTTAAAAGCAATTGGATGATGACAACTACCAGCATTGAAATCACGATAAGTACCAACAGACAGAATAAAAGAATATCTCAATACAAATGGTTAGGGGAAAAGTAGGTGGGAAAAGATGCAATCAACTGAAAGTCATGACTTGAAACTATTATTATTGATGTTCGTGTAGGCAATTAGCAGTCAAACGGCATGATGTCTCCTCACTTATATCAATACACGTGGACAACTGCGGACACATTCGATTGGAAAAATGTGGAAATCTTGGACGGAGGAAATACCAAAAACACCAGAGAATTTTTAAAAGCCCGGCACTCAGGGCAATCAACAAACACATTGAAATCGATCCAACTTATCAACCAATCAGGAAAATTATGCACAAATATAGGAACAAGAATCAAACCAATAGGAGACACAACCAAAACAAAGAAGTAAACAATAACAAATTTAAAGTTAATAAGAACCAATCAACATCGAGGAGCACAGAACAAGCTGTGAAACGCACATGGAGAAATTCGAACACTTCACTTCTATCCAAAGTTTGTGCTGATGATGTCGTTCAGAAGAACGATGAAAGCTCCACGACCAAACCATCCAGCTCAGAGAACAAAACTCCATCAAAAGCAGGTGGTTTTCTTAGGAGGCCAAACCCCGAGCCTTATACCTAAAGACCTGACCCACAAGGCAGTGGAGCATCGTGAGGAGATGCAGTCCCATGGTAGCCATTTGTTCCCTCAGGATACTGGAGCCCATGTGTACTACTGGTTTAAAATCAGGGTTTTCCAAATCCCCTGGGTGAACTCTTCATGTCCACCAACCCGGTTAAAGCGCCGGATATTCGCTTCTCGTCCTCTCAATTTCGTAAACAACAGCCCCGGTGCGTGAAGGCAGTGAGTAGGACTTCCCTGGCAGAGGCTATATACGCGTGGCCATGTGAGAGCATTTGGAGGGGGAGAGAGGACTCTGCGCTTTCTCGACCGTACCAGGGCATTTAGGGGCCATGACTTGAAAACAACTGTGCACTGCAAGGCAGAATCTACTGGAGGTTTTCGAGTGTTATGGCTGCTTCTCACTTTTAAGTACTTTGACAAAAATGCTCCCAAATGCTCTGGTATGGCCAATGGTGGAGAGAGCTCTCCTCGAAATGCTCTCACATGGCCACACGTATATAGTCACTGCCAGGGAGGTCCTACTCACTGCCTTCACGCACCGGGGCTGTTGTTTACGAACTTGAAAGGACGAAAAGCGAATATCCGGCGCTTTAACCGGGTTGGTGGAAATGGAGAGTCCACCTGAGGGAGTTAGAAAACCCTGATTCAAAACCAAAGGTGCACATGGGCTCCAGTTCCGACCGTTGTTGCTACCTTGACGTGGTGGTCGGGCTTGTCTATCATGATGAAGCAACTGAGATATACTGGCTGGAACAACCGTTTCTCAAGGTCCTACCATGGCAAACAGGTCGGTTGAAGAGCGGTAAGACTAAAAGCAACAAATCCAAGGTCTGAAGGCGAAGTCGTACTGCTGACTGTACAGAGGTGTGACAGCAGTAAGGTGTTTCCTTCAGACAACCAGCATGACAGCGATGCTGCCTTCCCACAAGGAGGGGTGGGTTAAAAAGGGAAGACCCTAGAAACGCGCACCTCGCCTTATCCCACGGATATCCCTCTCCGGCGGTGAGGTCTCAACAAGTACGGAGCTAGCACAAAAACTACTCATTAAAAGGTCATGTGTAACCGACCTCAAGCAGCTGTCCCTTGGGCACTGCGGTCACGCTCTCAGGTCACTATGACCACCTCTAATCCAATTTCCTTTTCATGCACCTCCAGAAGAACCTTTCCACGGTGTGGGCAACCCGGAAGTGATAACCGCCCTCATACCTCTAACAGCACTCAACCTCCTTATTCAATTCCTATTATTCCTCCTACATCGACTTTCTACACTAAACTTCCTTTTTCGGCTCCTTCCTCAAGTGTCACCATAGCCAACGATTCTAGTGCGCAAAACACTGTCCCAGGTCTACTGAAACCTCACTCCAAACTACACATTGGAGCCTTCAACGTACGCACACTATGTCAAATCGACCAGCAGGCTTCCTTGGCTAAAACCCTAGAATCTCGTACCATTGATGTTTGCTGTGTCTCTGAAACGCGCATACAGGATCCTAGCGTGGTCATTCACTTGACCTCACCTCGGCAAAATGGAGAGCCGACGAGACACACCCTCCGTGTATCTGGCGACCCGACGGCTAGTTCTCGTGGACTGGCAGGTGTAGGCATAGCACTAAGCGCTATTAGAGTGGATCCCCGTTAACAGTCGTCTATGCGCTGTTCGGCTAAACGACTCCATAAGAACTCGGAAGTTAGTCAGTCAGTGACAACGTGGAACTTCGTACGTACGTACATCAGTTCGAGTTGCCATACCACATTAGCACAGGGATTCAGTTATCGATTCAAATCCCGTAGTGGTAGAGGTAATAAAAGTTTACGTAGTGACAGGGAACATTAAGGTTTGATGATGTTATATAATCCAGTGGAATAGATTTAGAAAGAAAATAAAGGACATAAAGAATTCAGAAACAGAAAGACATTTAGGTGGGTATTTTAGTATTCCGGCACAGAGAACAGATAATGGTGATCGTCTGCTGCAATTGTGCTCAGACAATCGTTTAATTTTAGCAAACACAAATTTTAAGCATAAGGAGAGACATCGTCTAACATGGCGACTCCTGCACCAAATCAACGATGGACTCAAATAGACCATATTGCCATCAGTCATCGTTGGAGAGGGTCGATAGAAGATTGTCGCTCATTCTGGAGTACCTGCCTTGACTCCGACCATGCCCTAATACGAGCACTCATCTGCCTGCGCCTCACTGGAAGCAAAAAAGCCACATTAAAAAGACCTATTAGAACTGAACTGAGTAACGAGAAAACCAAAAAAAGGTTCCGGGAACAACTGAGGTCACACCTAGGTAGTTCTGAAAACGAGGCTGACCCAGATGTTGCTTGGAAAGATATACAATCAGCTGTGGAAACAGCGGTGACATCTATTAGTGATTTAAACCAAAAGGTTACGAAAAAACCAATGGATTTCTTCAAGGTTTATTGCACTGATGGATTTGCGTAAACTCATCCCATCAGTCAGTCAGTCAGCTGCAACGTAGGACCAGGCACGTATATGCATCGGTCCAAGTTGCCATACCGCATTAGCACAACAAGATGAACACCGGATTCATAGAAGTAGCTAATTCAGTGGCGGTAATATCTAGAAGAACGATTGCATATAAGGAGATAGTACAGGAAGAAAGAATTAGTTCCTAGAAAGAAAGATATGAAGCGGTTTTAATCTCTTAGTTTAAAGGAAGACAGAGAGTGTATACACCGACGCCATTGTGATCGATTCTGAGCCATGTCAGCAAGAGTCTCCAACCATTGGTTACG